GCCTCCCCCTTTTTAACTTCCCCTCTCTGTTGTAATTCTCTTTTCAATTGCTTTCTAACATTGTACCTTCTTTTCACCCTATTTTTCTTTTTCTTGGTTGTTTTATTAAATCTTAAATTCTCATTTTTCCTTCCTCTCTTCCCATTTTCTTTCTTAATTGAACTTTTTAGTCCATTAAAGATGGCTTCTTCCTTTTCTTCTTCTTCTCCTTCTCCTTCCTCAAGTATTTGCTGGTACGTAGAAACCGCCATTTCTAAAAAGTGGAAGGCAGCTCCCAAGGAATCCTTGCCATTTTGCTGTCTTTCTTTTAATTTTTCATATTCCATTTTTAGTTCATCCACAGATGGTGCCATTGTAAATTTTTAAAAACAACCCAGATGTTTTCAATCTTAAAGTAATTTCCAAATGTCAAAGTTATCAAACAATCCAAACAAACAAAAATTATTTCCTCTTCTTCTCTTTACAATTTTTCCTCCGGGGCAAAATCCCAAATGTATTTTAAAAGCCGTATTACAGTTGATTGATGGTCTTATAATCTTCAAGGCGTCTCCAACAAAGTTTTAAAGATTTTTTTTTTAGTCCTCTCCTTCCCACTTGTAACAAAGAGCTTATTTTTACCTTTAAAAAGCAGGTTTTCCTGTGCTCCTTTGCTTTCTCCATAAGGAAGGGGAGTGAACTTTCCTTCAGCACTTTCGCCGTTGTAACAAATTCTTTTGGAAACAAATGTATCAATCCAAAAGTCAGGTTTCCAGGGTGTTTTGAAAGTAACTTAATGTCCCAGTTCAGCCAAGAAAACTTCTCCTTCTGGCTCTTCCTCCTGCACAATCTTATCCGGTTGAAGATTTCTTTGTGGCTGCCATTACTGACAGCCGTTCCACCGCCTCAGGAAAAAGGAGTCTAGCCGGCTGGGGAAAGGGGGTGCAATATCCCCAGACCCCTGCCCGGATCTCCTCTGTCTTCCGCTGCCCCTTCAGGGCAGCGACAACCCCTAAATCCAGTTGGATCGGGGGTACCTTAGCGGCGAGCACAGCAGGGACCTGCAGAGAAGCGGATTCCTGCCGCCACCGAAGCCTTGCAACCGGGAGTCCTCAACCATGATTTGCTTAATGAGCACTGCAAAAATGTCATAAAATCAAGTCAGTCATGTGACAACTCATTTAATGACTGGCACAACTTACGACCGTAATTCCAGGCTCCATTATGGTTCCTAAGTCTAGGACTACCTTTTTTCTATTTTTGTTATTTAATTTCTGATATTTTCAAGGCAGGCTGTAGGATGCCCAAGAGCATATAATAACCATGTTTCCCAAAAAATAAGACCTGGTCTTTTTTTTTTTTTTTTTGCCTCCAAAAGAGGCATTAGGTCTTATTTTCAGGGAAACATGATATCGGTTCTAATGAAAAGGAATGAAAATTAACATAATTATGTTAATTATTACGGAAGTGGGGGGGGGGAAACCCTACACAGCTACCCTGAAGTTCACAATGCAAATTTTTAAAAAGGCAACAGGCAGTTAAGAGTTGAAACACACCTTCAAGTGTCCAAAGTCGAGAAAGACTGCTATAGGTAATTTGGGGGCAACTAGCTATGAATCCTAGTTTCCAATTTAGTGTGTCTGTTTAAATAAATGAGTTTTTGCTGCTGGTGCAGCCGAGATGAAATGACTCCTTTCGTGTAATGTCCGAAGTAGAAAAAGCCAAAATCTGATTTTCTTTTTTTTCCCTCTTGACCTCCATTTGGTCTTTGCATTCGCTGGATGAGCCCACCCATTGAGGCCAAAACCAAGCCTGCCATGGCATCAGCTGGTGGGATTTGGGGTAGAGAACAATGGGATGTCATCTCACTGTGTCACACCGTGGGAGTCCTGGCCTGTGGTCTCGCCGGCCCGCCAGAGCATCTAAGGCCTCTGATAAAGTTCTCTGTCCTGCAGGCCTTCGGGCAAGGGTTTGCGTTTGGTCTCAGGCAGCAAGAGCAGGCAAAGCAGGGCCAGGATGTTGAGGGAGGCCAGGATGATGTGTTTGAGGAAGGAACCATGCTGTTCTTGCACCTGCAACAGCGGGGCGCTTAGCCCTCCGAGAGAGGCCAAGGCCAGCGTGATGCTGAGACCCTTCTCTGCAGAAGAAAATTTATTTGTTGGATTAGCAGGAGTCTCCAGTTTTCCAGTGGAAGAATGCAGGAAGGAGGAAGAGAGGAAGGAAAGAAAGAGGGAGGAAGGAAGGAGAAAGGACAAGTGATAGAAAGGAGGGAAGAGAAGAGAAGAAAGGGGGGAGGGGGCAAGGAAGGAAGAGGAAAAGAAGGAAGGAAAAGATAAATAGGAAGGAAGGTAGGAAGAAGAAAGGAAAAGAGGAAATAAGGAAAAAAGGGCGGGAGGGAGGCAGGGAAGAAAGAAAAAGGCAGGCAGGAAGAGGGAGGAGGAAGGGAGGAAGGAGCAAGTACAGAGAAAGAGGCAGAATGGAAGAAAGGAAAAGATGGATGGACAGATGCATGTGTTCTGGCCCGACAGCGGCCAGCAGAGCTGGCAGCAGATTTGGACAGTGAGGAGGATGGGGAGGAACATGGGCCAGTCCTAGAGGCTGAGGAAGGCTCGGAGGAGTGCTCTGTGTCGGAGGCAGAGATGGGGCCAGGGCCACCTGACAGCTGCCTTCAGAGTCAGACATCAGTGAGGCAAAAGAACAGCTAGAACAGCTAGAGCCTGTTCCCAGTGTGTGCATGTGCAGAGTTGCCAGAAGAAGGGAACAGCTGAGGAACAAGAGTCGACTTGGGAGTAAAGCCACAGGTGGACAGTGAATGGCTCCTCCCCTAGAGTTTAAAAGGAGCGAAAGCGGAGTGAGGCTTTGCAGGAAACAATTAGTTCATTCCAGCATGCTTGCCAAGTATTGTGGTGTCTGAAAGATATCAGCCTGTCCACTCCAAGCCTGATAAAGGTTTGTAATTGGGAACTATTGTGAAAGACTGTTGGGAGGGACTTTGTTGGAGAGGAAATTCATTGTAAGTCAAATAAAAGGGGTTTATTGGAATGAGGACTGCTTCATGCTGTTGAGGGAAGCCTAGGATGGGAGGAAGGAAGGAAGGAGAAAGAAAAGAAAAATAGTAAGGTTAGGAAGGAGAAACAAAAAGTTATGGATGGATGAATGGGTGGAAGGAGCAAAAGCTGTAATCATGAGGGCTAGACACTTGAAGGCAAAATGAGCAGACGGAAAGGTAAGAGGGTGTGAATTTACACTGGAGATTCCTTCCCCCCCACCTCCCCGAAAGCTGTTTTTCTGTCAGCATCCCCCCCAACCTCTCCGGGTTGGCAGCCCAGTGTGGTGGGGAGGGAGGGCAAGAGGGAATGCTCTTGTGCGTGGGGCAGGTGTGAGCACACAGCTTCATTTGTGAGAGCGGCGGGCACATGTGCCCCCCGCTTACGTGTGTAGGGCTGCACGCCTGCCACTCCCGTGGACCAGTTTGTGAATAGGCCACAGCCTGGGAGTAGGCCATGGCCCACAGGTTGGGGAGTCCTGCTTTTAACTATTTTTCTACCCCAGGACCCCTTCCCTGTTCTCTTGGGGGGCTTTTCCACCTGACCTGATCACAGTGGGGATGACTTCAGCAGCGAAGAAGATGCTGAGGGAGCCAGCTGCTTGGGAAGTGAAGAGTCCGAGAATGGAAAACGTTCTTCGGGCTGCGTTGTTGAGATCTGCAATGGCAGACAAAACAGAAGGTGTGAAAATGACCAAAAAGGGAGAGAAGGGGAGATCGAACAGGCTGGGGCTGCTGGGAGTTGTAGTCCAACATCTGGACAGCCACATGTTCCCAAAACCAGGATAATACCTCCCAGCAGCCATTTATAGCTATCCCACCAGAGAGAGACAAAAAGCATTTGATAAAGTTAAATGGGAAAAATCAAACTTTTTTTCCTGGATCATTCTTCCCAATTTTTCTATTTCCCAGGGAGGCTTAAAATAGATTTTATTTTTTAAATTCTTCTCCTGAAATTGAAAGTTGATTTTAGCAATTGATTCTTTTTTTAATAGGAGAAAGGCATATTGTCTCTTTTTTTTGTCCTACAACAGATGTGTTTAGGCAGAACAGCGAGTTTCATGGCTTGACACCTGCAGACAATATGTATACAATCTTTGAAATAAACTTATTCTATGTATACACCAATTTATAGCTTACTCCCCCTTGATAACCTGTTTCTCAACCTTGATAACTTGAGGAACTGTGAACTTCGACCCCCAGAATTCTGGGAGTTGAAGTCCAAAGGTTGGACTAGAAGACCTAAGGTTCCTTCCAACTCTTGTTCTGTTCTGTTTTGCTTTGTTCTGTTCTACTCTAGGGGGTTGGATTAGAAGACATCTAAGGTCCCTTTCAACCATTCTATTCTATTCATTTCATTCCATATTTCTATTCTATTGTATTCTATTCCAATTCCATTCCACCCCATATTTCCTGTCCTCTCAATGCCTCTCCTCTCCTCTCCACTCTTCTCCACTCCACTCCAACCGTACATCTTAGGCTGCAAAAAGATTTTCCTTGGATATCGAGCCTGGGGTTCTTACATTCTCCCAGTCCCAGCAGGATCAGAGAGGCGATGCCAGTCAGGTTGGTGGTAAAGAACAAAATCCATACTGGTGTACAGTGAGGCACAGAAAGAGGCATCTGAGACCGGCGCTGCCAGCTGACAACAGGAAAGGGAAGTAGAACTTGGTGCATGGGTCCTTCATGGACTCCCAGGTCTGCAGGTAACAGTAGCAGATCGCATGGGCTATGAATCTGGAGATTAAACTTGGGTTTAAGTTTATGGGTTCAGGGTCTCAAAAGCACAAGAACAAACAAGGATACTCCATACACAATTAGGATGGAAGAAAGAATCTCATTGATGTTAAAAGGACCATAAGAGGCAAATAAGAAAGTCAGTTTTGTCTAATGGTTAAGGCACCAGACTAGAAAGCAAGAAACTGTGAGTTCTAGTCCTGCCTTAGGCATGAAAGCCAGCTGGGTGACTTTGAGCCAATCACCAGAAGACCATGAGCTCTAATCCTGCATTAGGCCTTGTTGAGGTAATTCCCTGTTAGGAGAATGAGCGCATACAGGGAGACGTATTTGAGAGTAGTGTTTGAATAATACACACAGCACACAGATAACACTGTACAGTAAATGTACGTTTTTACTTCCAGAAATGTTTAAGCAAAGTTCAAAATAGGCAGTCCAAAGTCATTCACAGGTTAAATCAGTCAGTTTTCAATCCAGGGATAATCCAGTAACAAAGTCCAGTGTCAAAAACAGTTCAGTATCAGACTTACATCAAATCCAAAAATAGCAGTCAATTAGGAAGAACGGCAAAACTCTCCAACAGAAGGAAACAGAGACTCACTGAGACTTCTTTTGAGATTAAGACTAAAACAACCCAGGTTTCTGGCTCCATCTTATGGCCGTTTGAGAAACCACACCCAATTACACTTTTAGGATTCTCTTAAAGATACAGTATTAAAATGTTTATCCTGGTTTATATATTTTCAACCCAAATACCTGTTAGGTGACTTATATTCCTAACATTCTCCCCTTTTGGGTAAGACAATATATACAACCTTACATTCTAAGTCCATAATCTTCACAGCAAGCCTTATGCTTTATAGAGCCTTGGGCCTTTGTAAAATGATCCGCTATATTGTTTTCTGACATACATTATTCTAGATTAATCATTTTACTTTGCACACATTGTCTCACATTTAAATATCTTAAATCTGTGTTTTTCATTCTTGTTTTAACAGCAATATTTGAAGCCATCTGTATTGCTGATTGGTTGTCTTCGTAAACAACAATAGAATCTGTTACATTAATTTCCATATCAATTACTAGTTGCTTATACAAAACTAAATTGTACATAATAAAGACAAACATGAGAATTCAGCCTCCATTGTTGACAAACTTGGATGTTTCTGTCTAATAGATCTCCATCCAATCAATGCTTTTCCCAATAATACAGCAGTACCCGATGTAGATTTTTGTGTATTTATGTCTGTAGCAAAACTTGCATCAGCATATGCAGTTAAACTCAGTTCATCTTTAGGCTCCAAATACAATGCATAGTGCATTGTTTGCTTCAGATACCTGAACACACTTTTAGCAGCTTGCCAGTGCCTTTCAATTGGCTCAGCGTTAAATCTCACTAATTGATTAACACTGTATGCAATGTCTGGCCTTGACCAATTACTGAGATAAGATAAACTACCAATCAAAGACTGATAAATGTTCTTATCAAAAAAAGGACTTTGAACATCACCATGGCTAAACTCCTGGCTCATTGGTGACTTAGCCGGCTTACAAAGTTCCATCTTAAAACTTTTTAGTAATTGGTTAATTTTATCTGCCTGTGAGATCTTGTATCCTCCCCTAGTTCTATCTATCTTTAAACCACGATATTGTTTGATTTCTCCTAACTGTTTTATCTTAAATTACTTTTCTAATAGTGAAATTATCTCAGTAGCTTCTCATTCAGTTTTGGTGATTAATGTTATGTCATCAGTAAATAATAGCAATAATGAAATTACACCATTACTTTCTCTTTTAAACAAACATGGATCAGCCATGCCAGCTACAAAACCTATCTTAGTTAATTCTTTAACTATACATTGGTTCCACTCATATCCTGATTGCTTCAACCCATAAAGACTCTTTTTCAATCTCCAGCAATCAGTTGTATTATCATTTTTGATACCTAAAGGTTTCTTTAAATATATAGTGTGTTGCAACGGTGCATGCAGATATGCCGTTTCTACATCCAAATGATTTATAATGTATTTCTCTTTAGCTGCCCACACTAATGCTGCCCTTAATGCAGTAGCCTTCAGACTAGGCGCAGACACCTCATCATAGTCATTTGCTGTCTGATTGAACCCTTGTGCTACTAACCTGGCTTTATGGGTACCAGTCCCATCCACACCTGTCTTCTGTTTGTAAATCCATTTACATCCTATGGCATGTTTACCTGGTGGTAACTTAACGTTTTCGTATACCTCCAGTTTTTTTAATGATTCCAGTTCCTTATCCATTGCTTTCTGCCAAGCAGCCTGATCCTTAGTAGGATACAGTTTTAGTTCACTATAATTACTTGGAACTGTATTCACTTGGCATACAACACTAGCCTGATATCTATCAGGTGGTCGTTTTACTTGGGTTGAACGTCTTAGTAATACAGGGCTTACTGGTGGAGTTTCCTGTGCTACCTACTCCTGTTCTTTTACCTCCTCCTGTGCCTCTTCTACTACTTCCTCCTGTTCTTCCTCTTTAATGGCTATTTGTTGTTTACTGATATCATCTTTAGGGACTATTTGGGTGTCAATAATAACATCATTGCTGGATTCCTGTTCCAGTTTACCCCACCCAACGTGCTCTATAAATTTTGCACCAGTACTACAATAAACATGAGCTGTGCCTTGATCCCAAAATCTAAATGATCTATGGTTGGCCTCATAACCCACAAAAAATAACTTCTTAGCTCTATGTTGCCCTTTCAGTCTTACTTGTGAGGGAATATGCACCCATGCTGGAGCTCCAAATGTGTGTAAATAACTTAGATTTGGTTTTCTGCCATGCCAACGAGTGAATGGCAATTCTCCAGTTGTTGTGTTAACTACATTGTTTAAAACATGATTACTACACATTATGGCTTCACCCCACAGTGTTTCGGGTAAACCTGAATCAGATAACATAGTGCGAGCCATGGCTTGTAATGTTTGCCCTCTTCGTTCTACAAACGAGTTATGTTGTGGTCTGTAAGGTGCAGAACGTTTATACTCAACACCAGCCAATTTCAGCATTGTTTGGAATCTTTTGTTAACAAACTCAGTCCCATCATCAGTAACTAAAGTAATTACTTTACTCCTCATTTTTCTCTCAGCAAACCTTAGCCAGTTAAAGAAATGTTGGAATGTTTCTGTTTTGTTTTTCATAAGATAGCCGAAACCATATCGTGAGTAATGGTCCATAAGACTCAAAATATAGCAGGCACCTCCTAAACTAGGTTTTTTTTAGGACCAATTATGTCAGCAAACACAACCTCTAAAGGTTCTTTGGTTTTAAACCCATTAAGTCTGTTTGCTGGAGTAACCTCACTTTTCTCTTGGGTACAAGCATTACAGTTTAAATACTTGCTACAGGGTTTCAATTTTACTCCCTCTGACAATTCAACAGTTTGTTTGAGCATTTTGAAATTAATGTGCCCCAGACATCTATGCAGTAAATGTATACATTCATCATGTGGCTTAACAGTGTTATAAACTGAGTTAGCCATCTTCAACTGGTCATCATGTATCACATATAAATCATTCTCTAAAGTAGCAGCAACACTTTTACCCTCTTTCTCTATTATACAGTTATCTCCCCTAAAGGTTACTACGTAACCAAGATTAACTAAAGCCCTTACTGATAATAAATTAAATTTCACTTTAGGTATATATAACATAGTTAAAGGTTCGTTTATACAAGAACAATATGCAGTACCTTCACCAGATGCTTTAATCTTCCATCCATTTGCCAATGATACATGTTGTTTACTTGTGGACATCTTTACAAACCTGTTTCTATCTTCAGTAATGCACTGCGATGCTCCACTATCAACAACCCACAAATCATGGTTTACAGTTGAATTGCTAGACATAGCTACACTAACGTTCTTCTTAGCCTTCTGGTGTTTACTAGTGTTCTGTTTTTTTCCCTTCTTACAGAATCTAGCTATATGTCCCCTAGCCCCACAAGAAAAACATTTCCTAACAGTATAGGCAGTTGAAGATAAATCCTCTTCTTGTGGTTGTTCCTTTCTCAGTTGGTCCCTATCCAGCCGTCTTCTTGCTTCTTCTAACAACCTTCCAGTTATGTCAGTCAATGTCAGTTTATCTCTGGGCAGGACTTCCAGTGAAGATACATAATCATCATAACTTTCATCCAATAAGGAAAGAATGATATAGACTTGATGCAGCTCTGAAAATATCAGTTCTTTTTCATGTAGCTCTTGAAAAGTTCTTTTCATGAAGTTTAAATGAGCTGACATATCTCCACCTTTCAGAAGACGTGCTCTAAACAGTTTACATGTAAGATGTATGTGTGCACCTATGCTGTCACGAACATAAATCCTCTTCAAATTCTCCCAACACCTAGCAGCAGACTCTTCTCCATGAATATGGACTAGTTGCTGGTCACTCAGTGTTAGTCCAATTATACAAAGAGCTCGTTCGTTGTTCTGTTTAAAGTCAGCAAGTTTCTTGGCATCATCCTCATTAGCTGGATCCCAAGCATTTACAACTGGTGAGTCTTGAACTACATTCCATAAACCTTCTCTACGCAGAAGTAGACTGCATTTCATAGACCAGGAAACATAGTTTGTTCCATCCAACCGGGTTATCAGTGATAGACTTGATGAAGTGACTTGTGCCATCTTTATCAGGATAGTAAAGCACAATTAAACAGTAAACAGCTGTCTGTATACAGTACTGTGTATTCACACTAACTCTCAGTTATCTGAGCCTGGTATGGCCTGGGCCCATAACCAGTGTTGAGGTAATTCCCCGTTAGGAGAATGAGCGCATACAGGGAGACATATTTGAGAGTAGTGTTTGAATAATACACACACAGCATACAGATACACTGTACAGTAAATGTAGGGTTTTACTTTCAATAAAGGTTTAAGCAAAGTTCAAAATAGGCAGTCCAAAGTC